TGTGCTATTAGATATGAATGTTGTTGTTGTTGATTGCCTTCAAGTGGAGCACAATTCATAGTGACCCCATGAACAAAGGCCTGAAGCCCCTCTACAACTACCGACATTTATCAAAATTCATAGAGTTTCAAGAGGCATGTTGTTTAGAAAGTGGATACCACTCCTGCTTCCAAATTAGATATGAATACTAGCTGCAATCAAGTTGAGTGGACTTATTATCTACCCAGAGGCATGTTAGAAGAAAGGCTTGACACATGATATGGTGTGACCAGGAGTCAACTTGGCGACTGCTTTTGAAGACAGGTTCGAAAATATCAGTGAAAATAAAGGAAACAGAAGAAAGTGGCATCATTTCTAGAATCCTGGGAGAACATAAATCTCACATATTAAAACTCAAAATATTAAAAGGTTCACTCAACTCTCATGGTCTTTAAAATGTAAAGTTGAAGTCAACTGTTAGTTTCAGGAGAAACATGTGGTTTGGTCTCAGCCCAGTCAGCTCTGGGAAATTTACAATTTACACTGAGTAAAGATTATGCAAAGCATGTTAAAATCTTGGCAGTAAGACACGTGAAGAAAGCACAGCGAAATGAAGAGATGACAGCTCTCTCATCCATCCTCCATCCTCTCTCAGTCAGAAGCTGGAAGGCCTCTTCCCACTAGATGGCTTTTTGGGGGACAGCAGCACTGAATGCAACACAGTCTGTCTTAGGTGAGAGAGGAAGCTCCAGAGAACAGGGCATGGACATGCTTGAAGGCTGTGTGTTAACTGCTTTAGACACACTTAAGTCCAAATCCTGGCTCTACTACCAGCGTCTACTGTCAAAGTAGCTTTTGTTGATAGGTTGTGCCCAGTCAGCTTCTACTCATGATGACCCCATGGAGAGTAGTACAAAATGTCATTCTGCTCTACATCTGTCCTCTTAATCACTAATATGCTGGAGTGTGTAGTTGAACCTTGAAATCTAGGGGACTCATATTCCACCTCGTCAGTCTTTCATTGGCCAATTTTCAGTAGATTTCCAACACTTTCTTCCTGTCTGTCTTAATCCTAAAACCTGTCCACCCTGGGTGATCCTGCTAGACTCAGTATAATAAACTGACAGGCCCAAGTAATGGGGTAAGTCATTTAAGTTGTTCTCCAAGTTTGGGATAGTAATATAAACTGGTCAAGGTACATAGGAATGGCATAAAATGATGTAAGGGGGGTGTCTTGGTTATCTAGAGCAGTTTTTAGGAGATGTAGTAAGTGGATTAGTTTAGCAACAGAGTTTTATTTTCTTTAATTTAGGAGGCTAACAGTAAAATTCAGTGTGCTGGTCCAAGGGTAAGGACCACTCTCTGAGATGGTTCTAGGGGAAGGCCCTGGAGATCTTCCCCCTATCAAGGAGCTTGCCAGTGCAGGGCTCTGATTACAAAAGCATGCACTCCACTCCTGGCAAGTCTCTCTTGGAGGTACTGAGATACCTTCTCTCCTTTTTTCCTTCTTCTTGTTATCATGTGCCGTCAAGTTGCCTGTGACTCATTGCGACCCTATGTACAACAGCCCTAAACCCTGCTCTATCCTTGCAGCTCCATAAAATGAAAAGTGAGGCAGGCCACAGCCCAGACTCTTTACATCTACTCATAGGACTGGGATTGGACTAAGGGTGCCCTGTTCCAGCATTAATCTTCTTTATAGCTGCTTGTTTTATCAGGTCATGGGCAATAATTCCTCATTACATCATTATTTGCACTTATTGGGGGAACGTAATTTAATCTTTAACAGTGCTTAACATAGGGGAAGCCACATAGGGCTCAGCAAGAGTTAGCTATATTAGATGTCATCTCAGTCCTGCCTCTCTGGGAATCAGAATGATAAGCAAATCCTTTGAATGTCTTCTAGCTTCATGTTATTCACTTTTGAAATGAATTGTACTCACTTGTTCACTCCTGGTTGTTGAGTTAGAACTAACTCTTAGCTCACCCTCCAGCGGGTTTCTGAGGCTATAAATTGCAGGGGAGGAGATTGTCCATTTTTCTCCTGAGGAGCCACTAGCAGATCAGATTCCATCAGAGATGTTCAAACCTTGGGTTAGCAGCACAGCTCCCTAGGAACCACAGTCCCAGAGCTCTCTGCAGTTGTTCTATGAACACCAAGAGCCCTAGGGTTCTATTAGAAGGCTCACATTGGAAAGAAAAATGATCTAGACAAGCAGGGTCACAGAGTTTCCAAATTCGTTGCAAGTTTATTTATTCGCTATATTTCAATTGTGCTGATAAAGGAGGCCTCATGTGCTCCATTCTGACTCCTCAAGACAGAAGATCTCTTTTTAGAAGTTTCCATTGCTGTGCTTAAACCCCTGAAAGATCACTGTGACGACAGACCAAGCTCTTTCGAAAGCTAAAGAAGTGTTTGGTGGAATGTTTCTGAACTGTTTCTGCTCTTTTAATATTTTATTATATATGGCTTCATGCTACACTAAAAATATCAGATTCCTTCTCAACCAGTGTTAACCTTCCAAAAAGAAAATCAAAAGTAATAAACAAAATATTATGTCTCAAGGGAAGAGCTCTTAATCCAGAGGCACAATCTCAAAACCCAAGAGTGAGAGGAAGGCTTCTATTCCAACTGGATCTTTGCCTTGAGTGGAACGTTAAAGTAGATCAGTTATCTGGGGGGGGGGGGAGAATTGTAACTTCAAATAACTAATCTCTTAGGTCTTTTCTAAATTGTCCTGTCCTATAGAGAGTTCTGGTAACACTGTGGTTAAGACATTAGGCTGCTAACTCAGAGGTGAGTGGGTCAAACGCACTAACCACTCCTCATAAGAAAGCTGAGGTAGTCTGCATTCTTCACAGCCTTGGAAACTGTAAGGGGCAGTTCTCCATCCTATAGGGTTGCAGTGAGTCAGAACTGGCTCAAGGGCAGTAGGTTTATCTTTTTTTTTCCTCTTAAAATTACAGCATGATGGTTTACAACACATTCATAATTTCATTCCTCCATCTAAAGGTGGCATCTAATTATTTTCTCCCTTTGAATATCTCTGCCTTTGAAGGAATAGCAGAAAAGAAATCACAAGGTTTCTAAGCTTACGTCACTGACACTTTCTCCATATTTCTGTCCCTGTCATGCTAGAGACACTAGCGAGAAGTGCCTGGGGTCCAGACCCAGTGTGCAGATGATCCATCTCTTCAAGTCAACGAGACGCAGCATTTGTTGTCATGTACCATGGAGTCAAAACTAACTCAGTTGACCCTCCAGCCGGTTTTCAGAGGCAGTGAATCACAAGGGAGGACACTCACCATCTTTCTCCTGTGGAGCAGCTGGTGGATTGGAACTGCATACTTTTTGGTTTGGCTGCACAACTCCTTACCACTAAATCACCGGAGTTCTCCCCCTGAACAAAACATGAGTTCCTATGTCTGGGGGTAATTTGTAAAGCAGTAATAAGGAATTGACACTCATGGGAGAGCTACTCGGCATATGAAGAAGGAAAGGAAGACCACCAAGTGGACTGACATAGAGACTACAGCAATGGGATGGAGTGTGTCAGAGATTGTGAGAATGGCAAAGGATTAGGATCTGTTGTTCATAGGGGAGCTATGAGTCGTACTCAAATGCCCCTAACAACATGTGAAGAAGGATTAAACACATTTAAAGAGATGGGTTTCATTGCTTTACCTTCCTAAAAATTGCATGTCTTGTCATTTAGTGAGGCCTGATGGAACAGCAATTGAGTAGTCTCTAACTGAAGGTTTTTGTTGGATGCCATCGACCGCTTTGCAGAAGAAAGGTGTAGTAGTCTGATTCCATAAAGGTTTGCAGCCTTGGAAATCCGACAGTTTTGCTCTGTCCTTTAGTGTTGCTAGGAGTTGGAACCAATTCAAGGGTAATTTAAAAAGAATATATGCTTTTCTGTTAGCAGCGCAAGCACCACACTGCTCGAGTGCCCTCTGTCTGGGTGGCCCCAGGCCGGGAGCACTTCACCCGGGTGGTCCCAGCCAATGCGCACTGCGCCTGGGTGCCCTCCTCCTGGTGCCCGCCCCGGGGCAGCCCCTTCTCTCTGTTCCGCCTGAGAGCCGCGCGCGGATGAGGCGGGGCAGGAAAGGAGGGAGGCGGGGACGTGCGCCCAAGCCCGGCGCAAATGTCCCCTGCAGCCGCCTTCATCGACCCGCCCCACCCCGCCCCGCTGGGCCGCAGCCCACCCGGCCGCCGCTCGCCAGGGTTCAGCCGCTCCGGCCGCGGGGTTTTAAGAGCCGCTGAGAGCCGAGAGGGCCAAGCTGGGATTCAGATGGGATGGGACTCCAGAGACGTCTTTAAGTTTGAAGAGGTAAGAAGTTGCTAGTTCTCAGTCTGAGGATCAGGCGGCAGGAGAAGCGTCCAGTGCGCGCTTGCTCTGGGGACAGCTGAACGATATCTTCCGGCAGCCTTGGCCTTCGCTTGGTCCGAGCTCCTCAGAAGCCAGATTCAATGTGATCAGCAGGGGAAGTCTTCCCTAGGAAGGCTCTGTCCACACCAGCAGATCTGAAAGCAAAGCCTACATTCCCAGGAGGTGCTCGGTAGGGCAAGCCGAAGTGGTTCCTGCTGGGGAGCGGCTCGAAGGGGAGTGTCCCCGACTTGTTACTCTGGCACGTGAGCACACCTGTCTGTTTGTCCGGGGCCCGAACTTGTCTGGCTTCCGGGGTTCCGGCTCTGGCACCCTGCCAGGCACACTCCCGCCCTCCCCAGCCCCTCCCCAACCCCTCCCCAGCAGTGGCACTTTCTATCCCAAGGCGGTCTGGTCGGAAAGCCGGCCCCGGACCCCTAACCCTCCTCCCACTCCGTCTGAAACAGCAACAGCTAAAACCTAGAGCCTCCCACTACCACCTTCATTTTCCTCTCCATTCCGACTGGGGCGGTCTCGGGGCGCACGCCCCCCGAGCCTCGCCCTCCTCCTGACTGCACGATGAGCTGAATCTCTAGGGTCGTTCTGAGCTCGGGAACTCGACTCTGACAAGTCCCGGGGCCCGGTGGCTCCATGGAGCCCACAGAGACTCCGCCCACCCTGGAGTGTCCCTGTTTGGAGAGTGGCGAGAACAGCAGTGACAATTCTGAGACCCCTGCTCCCTACCCTCGTCCTGCTCCCAGTACTCTGTCCCGGGAGGAAGAGACCGAGGAGGAGCTGCCAGAATGCCGCCGCCGGCGGCGCGCGCGCTCTTTCTCGCTGCCCGCCGACTCCCTCTTGCAGGCGGCTAAGTTACTGCAGGCGCCGCCGGCCGAGAGGCTAGGAGCGGAGGGCGGCGAGCTGACGGGAACAGAGTTGCCCAGCCTCAGCAGCTGCTGTACCAAGTGCAAGAAGCGGGTGCAGTTTGCTGACGCACTGGGACTGGACCTGGCCAGCGTGAAGCACTTCAGCCAGGCCGAGGATCCACAGGTGCCGCCCACTGCGCTCGCACGCCTCCGGAGCTTCCCGATGTGCGCCGAGGACCTACAGCAGTTCGAGGAGCTGCTAGCAGCAGCGGCGACGGCGCAGACCCCTACGCCCCGCACAGCACCAAACCTGCCCCGCCTGAGGCCGCTCTTCCAGCTCCCGGAGCCCCGCGCAACAACCGAGCTCCTACGGCGGCAGCGCGTATGCCTGGAGCGCGTACACTGCTCGGCGCCCGGGGGCGCACAGGTGACCGGCTCGGGCCGCGTGCTTGGCGGCCCTGGACCGCACGCTGTGACTGTGCGCTACACCTTCACCGACTGGCGCTCCTTCCTGGACGTGCCCGCCGAGCTGCAGCCCGAGTCAGAATCGCCATCAGAGGCCGCCGGGCTGGACCTCGGGGATGGCGCAGACGAGCCGGGTGCAGAGCGCTTCCACTTTTCTCTGTGTTTGCCGCCAGGCTTGACACCGGAGGACAGCGAGGACACAGACGCGTCCCAGCCCGCTGTCCACTTCGCCATCCGCTACCGCTGCGCGCAGGGCGAGTACTGGGACAACAACGCGGGCACCAACTACACGCTGAGCTTCACGCGCCCATCGGACGCGCCGTGAGCCCGGAACGGGGACGTGTGTCCCCGCGCAGGGCGCTCGGAGGAGGTGGGAAGTAGCTAGCCAGCATCTCCAGATGGCTGGCAGTGGGCGCTCTGGCGCGTCCCCAATTCCTGGATGACCTGCAGAGGGCCGACCAGCCAAGGGCTCTCAAGCTCCTCCTCAATCCCTTAGGGCTCCTGCAGGGGGCGCTCTAGGGAGCCCCAGTCTCTGGGGGACCTGCAAGGGCCCTCTAGCGCGTCCCCATTCCATGGAGGACTAGCCTTCAGCCTGAGGTTGATGAAGCCGGGCACCGAAGAGAGGGAGTTGGTGAGCCCAGAACTCACACGCTAGACGGATTCTGTAAGCCAGTAGGATCTCGGCATCCACAGGTCTCCTCGGCGGGAAGTTCCTAGGGGGCTCCCGCAGCCCATTCTCAACATCCAAATGGAACGAAACTCCCACGGCCCCTGCCACCCCATGCAGTGACTTTCTCCAAATAAATGGCTTTGAGGACCCTGGAATTTGCTGTCATTTGTCTGCTAGAAGCTGTCCTGAGACGCACGTGAGATGAAAGCCATCCACCCTGACCCCCCCACGACTCCAGGCTGGGCACGCTTCACACCGAAACCTGTACAATCAGGGTGGGGGGCCCCACCCATTCCCTGGGATTTATTTGCCCAATCTGTTTGTGTACCGATGTCTTTTCTAAAAGTAAAGGGCTCTTACGCACGCCTTAGTGGCATTTTATATATTTTGCACAGTGCTCTCCTGAACTTGGGAAAGGGATCCCTGGTGTCTCAAGGTCGGCAGGTGTAATCCACCTGGAAAATGAGGCGGCTCTTCCCATAAATGTCACAGCCTTGGAAGCCTAATCTCAGAAACGGGCCAGGTTCGGGTTTGTCTCTTGGAGGTCTTTTGGGTGATCTTTTCAGCTGAATCACACACGAAATAGCTCTTTAACTATATATTTCTACATTTCCCCTTTTATTCCTCCTCTATTTTTTTTTTCTGTTGTGAAAGGGTGAGATTTCTTGTGCTAGGCGAAAACCGGTTCTCAGAATTCTCAAAATGTTTTTATTGTAATAAACGCCAGAGTCATATTTCAGAACTGGGTTGCATGCAGCAAGAGCAGTTTCTGGTGTGGACAGAGCACACAAGACCTGCTGCACTCCTGCTTGAGCATTCGTGGCCTGAGAGGCCGCACGTCAGGGGACTGTCTGTCCCTGTCAGTGATGTAGTGAGGAGTGGGGGCATGACAAGCAGGTGCTCTACCAAATGGGCATGTTAGGGACACTGGGCATGGATACTGCTGGCCAAGATGACGTGGCCATGGGTGGCCAACCGGCTCAGATGGGGCCCGAGTTAGACAGCAAGTGCTAGATGTCTGGACTTGACTCCTTCACAGTTTGGCCAGCCTTTGGTAATCACTTTTGCCTGTCCCCCCAATTTGTATTTTCCAACATGTGATTATTGTGTCAATTATGTTGGAATGGTATTCTTTAAGGAGGGCCTACTTTCACGCGGTTCCCTGGAACTGGAATATGCAGCCTGTTTTTTTTGTTTTGGGTTTTTTTTTTGTGAGCTGTAGAGTCAAACCAAACTATAACTGCCCTTCCAGCAGGTTTTTAGAGACAGTTAGTCACACAGGAGGAGACTGTGCAGCTGTCTCCCGCTAAGCACCTAGTGGGTTAGAATTTATTGCCTTCAGGATTGCAGCACAGCTTCTTAACACTTCTTACCACCTGAAGCCAACTTGAACTGCACCTTGATTTTGTATGACTTGTAAGCGATGAATGGGTTTGCGATTTTTAAAAAATGATTCATGGAAATTAAAAAGAAAAATACTGCTTTGTAGCATATGACAATTGTATGTAATTATCATGTCAGTGTCTGTAAGACAAATTTTACTATGTCATGCTTGTATGCTTCTGTACTTGTAAAGCTTCTTTATAGCACCACGAGGAAGAGTTGAATTGACCCAACAGAGGTCAAATAGCTCCTAAAGCCTAGAGTATTTGCCATCTGGCTATTTACAGAATGTTTGCCAACTCCTGTTTCCGAGACATGCAAAGAGCTATGCTTGATAAGGCAGTAACTACCAAAGCAAGTTAGACCTTAGTGAACTTGAAATAAACTTCCTTAGTAAATATTTTACAATTGTTTACATTTCTGTCAGTTATCTTGGCTAAAACAAATACTAAGACATCATATGTGCTATTACTACTCTATTAGAGAAGAGTCTTCCCCATGCCATCTTATTTCATGTAAGAAGTATTAACAGCCCTGAATAACTGAAATGCAGCCCTCATTTGCCATAGCTATCTAGTACTGCTATAATACAAAGGCCCAAGTGAATGTCTATTAACAAAGGGATATTTATCTTCTTACAGTTTAGGAGGGAGCTCTAGTGACTTAGGGGTAAGGAATTGCATTTCTGACACAAAGCTATGGGGTTTGAATCCACATCCACCCACTCCACCAATGGAAAAAGATGGGCAATCAACTCCAGGGCAATTTGTTTCTGAAAACCCACCAGAGGGTCAGATTTGGGTCAGTTCAAATTTGATTACACATAACAACATTTTGGGAGGCTGAAAGTCTGAATTCAAAGGATTAGCTCTGGGGAACACTTTTTACCTCTCTCAACTCTGGAGAAGACCCTTATCTCTCCAGCTTTTGGAGATGGCCATATGTCATCTGAACATCCATTTTACCAAATCCCAGTTTTACTGGTTTGGTTAATGTCCTTTACATCTCAAAAGAGATTGTTTCAAAATAGAGTCTACATTAATCCTGCCCTATAAACATACAAAGACAACTAATTCCAATTGGGACTATATAGCCTTAGGTGTAGAGGTTAGGGTTTTATATACATATTGGGGAGCGGGAGGACATAACATTCTACCATTCAAAACTTCAAAATCCATGTCCTTGCCACATGTAAAACACTTTCACCCCATTGCATCATCCAAAACCTTTTAAACTACTACTATTAACGTCCTGGAGCAAAATTCTCCTCCATTCATCTGTGAACCTATGAAATATAAACTGCAATTTATCTATTTACAAAGTACAATGGTGGAAAAGACATAAAGTAAACATCTCCATTACTAATGGGAGATATTTCTGTTCTTTTACTTCAGCATCTTTTCCCTTTGTTTTGGCTTCTGGTTGTGTTTTTTGTTTGTTTGTTTGTTTTTATTAATTTTAATGAAAGTTTACAGAGACTTAGGGGTTCCAGTCATTCATTGTTGCACTTTCTCCCTGCCCACCCCCTCCCCCCAATTCACTCTTCTTGAAAAGTAAAAGAAAAACTCTTTCATTGTTATGCAATCCCTTCCTCCAAGTCCACTCCACTATGCAGCCTTAATTCTGGACTTGTGTAATGACACGAATACCCAATCATATATCCCTTTTAAACAGTTCTCTCCCTCATCTGTTTCAATGTAATATACATCATTCTTCCACTCCTTTTTCTGTCTTCCCTCAAACCTGATGTCAGTCCTGTTTTACAACAGTGGTCCTATGCAATATTTGTCCTTTTGTGACTGAGGTATTTCACTCAGCATAATGTCCTCCAGGGTCATCCATTTTGCATAATATTTCCTGAGTTCCTTGCTTTTCAATGCTGCATTGTATTCCATTGTGTGAATATACCAGAGCTTCTCTATCCATTTGTTTGTTGATGGGCACTTGGGTTGTGTCCAGCTCTTTGCTATTGCAAACAAAGCCTCAATAAACATGAGTGTGCATATATCTACTTGGGTGGCTGTTCTGGTTTCTTTAGGGTATATATTCCCAGTCGTGGAATTGCTGGGTCAAATGGTATTTCTATTTACAACTTTTTGAGAAAGCGCCATACAGTCTTCCATAGTGGCTGTGCCATTTTACACTCCCATGAACAGTGAATAAGGGTTCCAGTTTCTCCACGACCTCGCCAACATTTGTTACTTGCTGTTCTGTTAAATTTTGCTAGTCTTACTGGGGTGAGATGATATCTCAGAGTTGTCTTGATTTGCATCTCTCTTAGAGCTAGGGATTTTGAACATTTCTTCATGTGTTTGTTTGCCATCTGAATGCCTTCTTTGTACAAGGACAGACAGATAGATCCATGGAATAGAATTGAGAATCCAGAAATCAGCCCATCTACCTATGGTCAACTGATTTTTGACAAGGAGATGATATCAGTTAAGTGGGGAAATGACAGCCTTTTTAACAAATGGTGCTGGCAAAATTGGAAAACTATCTGCAGAAAACTCAAGCAAGAACCACACTTCACTCCATACACAAAAACCAATTCAAAGTGGATTATAGAGGTAGGACTAAAACCAAGGACTGTAAACTCCATTAAAGAAAGAAAAGCTTGGAAGAACTCTAGAAGTCCTAATCCACAACATAAACAGTCTTCCAAGCTAGAAAATCTACAACCAAGAGAGGATAAAATAGATGAATGGGACCCTCTAAGAATCAAATCCCTATACACATCCAAAAACTTCTCCAACAGGGTAAAAAGGGAAGCCACAGATTGGGAAAAAATATTTGGTAATAACATGTCTGACAAGGGACTTATATCTAGAATTTATAACATACTCGAACATCACAAGATAAAGGTAAGTAACCTAATTGAAAAATGGGCACAGGATATGTTTTGGCTTCTTGATACTCTAGCACAATTTTCAGAGTCTCTCCTGACATCCATTTTGGTTTTTTCTTTCTCCTCTTTAATTTATCCTCCTCTGAAAATGATCCAAAAATGACTGGAGCAGCACATCAAGAGAGAACTGCCAGATGTGCAGATTGAGTTTAGAAGAGGCCATGGAACTAGGGATATTATAGCTAATTTTAGATGGCTCTTGTACATAGGGTTGCTATGAGTCGCAAGCGACTAGATGGCACATAACAACAACAACAGATGGATCTTGGCTGAAAGTAGAAAATATCAGAGCAATGTCAATCTGTGTTTCATTGACTATACAAAAGCATTTGACTGTGTGGATCACAACAAACTGTGGCTGACTCTG